CTGACCAACGAATCCACACTGCCAATGATGAGCTTCTGGAACAGGTGTTCTTGATTGCCTCCCAGTTCGGACAAATCCCGATCGTAGTTGCCGGTGATTTTCAGGCAAACCCAGCCAGTTACACCTGTGTGTCTGCGGCCATTCAAATTCATGGGTGGCAAGACCCCCTGAATGTTGTCGATGAACTTGGACATTTGTCTCGCCCGTATACCTATTCCAAAGATTGTTGCTTTTCGGGGGAGGATGACGGTTGCACTTCTATCGACGGTGTCCTTGTTAACAATGTCGCTTTTTGTGCGGTTCGGGAAGCCTCTGTCCTAAACCATTTCGGGCGACAGCATCGACCGATCCAAGTGACTTTCGAGTGGCCGTCCATTGAGCAGTTCGGGTTTCCACGTGAAGTTTGGCCCAATTAACATTTCCAAGGTGCCTGAGCCTGAATCATGTCAGGATGATTCAGGAATCTGGGATGACCAGTTTTCTGGTCCCTTTCAGGAACAAGTGGATATTGATGATAAATGGCAAACAATTAACCGTTATTTCCAAGAAGTACTCTTTTCAAGGGGTGCCGAATGGGGGAATGGACCAAGGCATAGAGCGGGTGAACCTGTGTTTTGCCATAAGCAGATCTGCCCTACTCAGCTTCGGACCCGATGTGCTGCTACCAAGATTTCGCTTGAAGCTTATAAGCTCATTAACCGGTTGGAAGAACTCATGAAGAGGCTTTCCAGGTCCCCGGGTTCCCCGCAAGATGTTTTCAACACCAGACAGTTGGCAATTCGCACCAATCGTGCTTTGACAAAGCTCAACTCCTCGATCGTGTGGGATGATCCGTTCCATCCGTCACTTGTTGAGATCCATTGGTCTAGGAGGTGGGCTGAGAGCTTTGCTATGACGCTTGATGGCCGTATTCGTCTCAAACGCATCCGTAGTTGGAAGGACAAGATTAAGAATTCTGAGCAACATGGCTATTCTTATATTTTCCAACACCTTCGTAATAAGGCTAGTGATGAGCCCCCCAATTTGGTGCAAAATGATCAGGGCCAAATCCTCACCCAGCCTGAGGAGGCCATTGCTGAGATCAACAACAAATGGGATGACATCTTTGCCTCTAATGTTCTCGCTGACCACCCCATTAAGATGCTGGAAACGGTCTGGCCGTACATCTCTGATAAACAGGTTGAAATCACTCTTCCACCAATTTCTGGGGATGCTTTGTACCAGATTGTCCAAAAACGAAAATCTAATGCGGCCCCAGGCCTTGATGGATGGAGGACTGTTGAACTCCAAGCATTACCCAAACGATGTTTTGATGTGCTTGCCATGTTCTTTCAGATCCTTGAAGACACTGAACAGCCGATGCCCAAAGCCCTCACGACTGCTAAGCAAGTAATCCTCAACAAGCCTGGTTTGGCTTCACCCATCAATAAGCGTCTCATTACTGTGCTCCCACCGCTCCTATTAGCCTATACTGGTGCTAGATTTGCTCAGCTCCAATGCTGGCAAGCCCAAGCCATGCCGGCTGGCATCGTTGGTGGGGTCAAAGGACGCTTCATGTCCTCCCTCTACAATGATGTGCGCCTTGACCTTGATGTTGCCAATTTAGAAAATGAGTCTGTTGTCGGTGTAAAACTTGACAAGTCAAAGGCGTTTGACAGAATCATCCCACAATTTGCTGGATGTCTCTTCATTGCTTTTGGCATCCCGCAGAAGGTTGTCAAAGTGTTCTTGAAAGTGTACCAACACCTACGTAAGCATCTTGCATATAGGAACTGGACCTCTCCCGTCTCCACGACCCATGCAAACGGAGTGGCCCAGGGCTGTTCTTTTTCCATATTAGCTATGAATGCCTATAATAAGGTATGGTACCACCTGCTTGAACATTTGCCGGGCCTTGTCATTCGGGCGTACATCGATGATAGTTATCTTTGGTGCCGCTTGGCTAACATTCAGTCTCTTCGCACGGCAATTCAAGTGACACAGGTCTGGGATGAACTAGCAGGCCAAAAGCTTAATGTTTCTATATAAGTCGAGCATGTGGAGCAACACCCCCACGGGCAGGAGCGCGTTGAAGGATGCTTTCGCCGATTTCCCTGTGACGCTTGAGTTTGAAACCCTTGGAACACGCATCTATACGTCATCCAGGTGTGCGTTTGGTTTCACTGATGGGTCCCTCAAGAGAGTTCTCACGGACATTGAAAACATTGGTGCTTTGCCTGTCACGATGGCGACACGTGTGTTTCTGATTGGTTCCAAGGTCATTCCCAGGTTGACCTTTGGTTCCCACGTTTCCCGCATCCCTAAAACAAAGCTTGATGTGATCCAAAATGCCATTTCTCGTTGCATTTGGGGACGCCGGCCTAAGTGGAGATCCAAATGGTTGGTCCAGGCTGTCTTTGGGAAACCTCATAGAACTGATCCTAGAACAGCGTGTGCCTTTAGCACCATCTTTGAGGTCATCAGATCGTGCCACTCTGACCCTGCCATTTTCTCGAAGCTGCTCTTGACGCATCGAGCGGGCCAACATTTGCCCCACTCCCTTGCCAGCCGATTTAATCAAGCGTGCGAGGTGTTACAAAATTTGGGTGACAAATGATTTGTGCTTGTCCTTTTGTGATTCTCAACCAATTTCCTTGCAAGACCTGACACCACAAGATTCCTGCCGTATTCTGCAAGCAATTGCACGTGATGCCTGTTATAGACTTGCAGGGTCTACCCCTCGAAAGGACTTTGTTAAGACTGTTCAAGTTTTCGACCATGCCCTAACAACATCGTTCTTTCGGACAGCTAAGGTCTTTGGTAATGATGACATTTCCAATCACCAACGGTTGGAATCAGTGTTGGTTGGCTGCTGCTTGACCAATGATAGAATGGCTGCGACTGGCTGGACTGACAACCCCGCTTGCCGGTTTTGCGGGGCTGACAGAGAATCCATGGCACACTTGGTGCATCAGTGTGCCCATCTACACGACAGTGTTGGGGTGCCTACCATTCATGAAGTTGGGAGCAATTTTGCATTACTTGGACATGTACATCAACCCACATTTGTTGTCCGGCGACGAATGCTGCAGCTACAAGCTGGTAGTCTCCCTCTTGCTGAGCAGTTCTGTCCCACCGAGATCGAAAAGGTCTGGACGGACGGCTCCCTTGTTTTTGGTGATAATATTTGGCTGGCCGCCGGAACTTATGCCGTCCTGAATGAGGACCAAACGATCATTCACAAAGGGCAGGTCAACCATCTGTCCTTATCCGCTTATACGACAGAGCTATGGGCAGTATTGGTAGCTTGCTCCGCTGCCACAACGAGGCTTGCTATTTACAGTGATTGTTTGGCAGTTGTGAAACAGGCAAATGCAGTGTTTGATGGCGAGAGGCCAGATCCGATGTGGCGGTGTTTTCATTGGTGGATTTTTCTTGCTGATGTTGTTGCCAATAGATCTGCTGAAACATCCCGACCGTTCAACATTGAGTGGATCCCTGCTCATCAGTACGACCATATCCCTATTGAGCTCGTGACTGAGGATATGGCGCGATGTGTGAACACAACTTTGCAACACATTGCCAACAACCGGCTTGTCGACCGAGCTGCTCGAGAGTTTGCCGTTTCCATTGCTCCAATCGACCCGCAATTCAAACCAAAGCTCATTGAAGCCATCAGGTCACATCAGCAATGGCTGGTGGGGGTGCATGCCAGTTTGCCCACACATGCATCGGAAGAATCCAATGTTCGTAATGTCCAAGAGCTGCCTGATAAGCTGACATCGGCGCAATGCAGACTTCGGTATCCCCAGTGGCCGTGGGATGCCTCTGCTGCGAGCTTCAAGTGGAAACCCAAAATACCACTGAACCTTCCGTGTCCGGAGACGTGGAAGAGCCATCCAGAAAACTGGAATAGCATCTGCGAGTTCCTTCGTGGGTTGAGATGGAAAGAGGATCCTGACACCTCTTTCTCATTCTGCGAACTTGCTGCCATTTTTCATGCGAGTGGTGCCAGAATAAAGGCGGACTGTGAGCTCCTTACGTTTCGTGAAGTGACCAACTTGATTCGGAAAACCATGCTCATACTTTCGAAAAACCCTTGTGTACAGGCTTTTCCTGGGTCTTTTAACTCAACCAGGCCACGTAGCTGCGGACGTGTCCTTCCTCAGGGATGCATCGACCATGCGTTTCCCTTTGTTCGTCCCGAAGGGTATGAACTTGTGGCAAATTTGCTTGCACGCGGTGCCAACCGCACGCTGGAGTCGTGGGAGATTCCGGTGTGCGACTTTTGAGACAGTCTGAGACTGTGTTTGTTATGTATCGACCTGTGCGTCGTGCATATGTCAGACGCGTTTCACGCGAGATCTGGCGCGAGTGGTGGTATTTGATGGTATTTGTATAATTTGCGAAGGGCACGGCAAGCCGCATCCGAGTTTCTTCACGGTACCGCTTGGATCTACTTATGGATCCACTGCCACCCTCTGAGGTACGGTGGTTGCAAACACGTCGCCTGTTCGAACGGAGGGTCCAGTCGTACCGAGGAGAAGGTCTCTGGATCCCTAGGGTTTGATGTGGCCGTCCTTCAGTGCGCACCTTGCCCGTCCAGTGCTCTCCACGGTCAGAGATGGCGGTTTCACATTGGGACCGTGCTTTGAACCGTTGGCAGCCACAGGGAAAGCCACCCCCCCCCCAAACAAAAAGAAGACAAGAATCCACACTTGACAAGATCCGAGATTCGAGATCGGAGATTCGCGATCTCAAAGAATCCCACATGTCCGAATAAATAGAAAAGTAGATCCCACTAAACATGTATTGGAAGCCGTTTCAATCTTTGTGTAAACAACTGCTAAAAACAGCATCTGATGAAGCAACTACTACAGAGTTCCCCTCTTAGATCCAGAGATGAGGTTATACCTGGTACCTGGCCATACCTGACCCAAAAGGACACATAATCAATCTTCACATACCTCGTGCCACTAGAATCCGCAAATAAAAAGGTCGGTCAAAGACAGGCATGCGGCAGTATATGAAAGCAACAAGAAGTCGACGCTCCAGCAGATGTTTTGCAAGCTTCGGCCCGAGAGCTCATCAAGGCTTACGTCCTGCAGCGAGTTCTGAATCTCAAACTACCCAAGCGGGGGCTGGAAGGTGACCTTACAAATAGACCTGTTGCATGTCATGTTGCGCAATTGGACGCAGCTCAATCTGAAACTCTCAATCTGAAACTCCAAAATGGGTATCAGCTGGGAGGGGTGAAGTATACATTAATAATCTTGGCTTGTTGGGTGCAAGAAATATACCCAGACACTCCATGTATGCCAGATATGCCTACATTGGGGTGGTTTGGGAGGTCAATGTAGGCATATATGGCATACATGGAGTGTATCATAGAGTAACCTTTAACCTCCATGTATCATGTACAGACATCTCCATGTACGTCTCCATTGTACATGCCTTTGGTGAGGCGGGAGGCGATCCAACTCAGCAGCAAAACACGTTGAACCCGGTGCCACGTTTGGCGGCGGCCATGGCGCGGCGATGTTTGCGAAGTGACGCGAACAAGTATGTCGTGTCCTCCTCGGGCAATTCAACAGGCATTGTGGGCCAACGGGCTGCCATCAAAGCGCAGAGTGCAGGGATCACCATGTAGAGGTGAAATGTCTCACCTCAGATCGTCTGAAAACATGTGCAACGTGGAAGTGAGTGGGACTTGCAAGATCACCGCAACAGCCACGCACAGCAACGCAAGATGTATAATTCGATATAATTCGTATAGAATTATATTTATACCAGCAGTCACAAGAGGGGGGGTGCGATCCATGGAGGTTAGGTGCCCTTGTCACATCCACTCACTGGATGGGACTAAGAAGCACCCAACTCCATGTGACTCCCCATCCACAAAGAAAAGCAGGCCTCAAGCGTATGCCTCAAGCGTAGCTCTTGGGGGATGAATCCGAAAGAACTGATGGGGGATCAGGTTCTTCTCACTTCTTCTCTCTCTCTCTCTACCATCTTGAAGCGTCCGCCCTCGGCCAACCACGCAGGGACATCATGTTCCTTGAGCCGTAGAACTGAAGGACATCCCATCGGTCATGAAGTGCCTTGGCGGAGAAAGTGTTCCGGGGAGAAAGTGGACATGAAGAGAAAGATGGACACATGGCTGACACGGACTTGAGTGAGGGTCCACATAGGACATTTTTCAGGTGGGATCATGTTGAATCTTACATCGAAAACCTGGCCCCCCACATAGCGTTCTCTTCCAAGCAGCGCCAGGGTCGCAAAGACCGCAGAAGATGCATCAAAACATCCAACGAGTGAAGCTGTGATAAGTCCCACGTGCTTCGGGAAGAGGTTGCCTTGGTGGCTCAAGCTGGGGCAAAGCTCAGGCAGGCCAGTGTTCTGGGGCAAATCAAAGTAGGTATGTAGTAACAATGTAGTATATAAATGTAAATTTATCTGAATAATAGAAACCCATCCTAGAAGTCAAAAAAAAACCTACATTTCGCCCCGGTGAAGTAAAGGAAGTTCCAGAACTCAGCTACCCTAAAATCTATTCTACTAGTAACAAGTGCATCGCTTCTAGTAACAAGCGCCTTACTAGTAGTAACAAAAAGCTATTAGAAGTACTGTAATTACACTTAATTGCACTTAATTCTGGAAAAACTAAATAGACAATTTTTAAGACTCTTTTGTAGTCCAACGACTCTCAGGGGCGCGGATTTCTGCGCGTGCTTCCACGAGTTCCACAGACCCTGACCCACAAACAGTGGTTAGTCCTCTGGACCCGGGGATCACATCTTCGGTGACTTCGGTTCAACAGGTTCGTTCGCCGGAGGTTCCGGCAGAGGCCTTCTTTGCCACGCGATTCTCGGAAAGGTGAGGGACATGAACAGTTCAGCAAATTGTTACTATCCCCTTGGTTCCTCTCCACATAAACATTATTAAACATTCCTAAACGCCACCAGTTTGGAGGGCTAACCATTTCTTTGCCCACTGAGACCCCCAAGGAAAAGAATTCGAGACCCCAAATAACGGGGGAATCTGCCCCTGAAAGCATAGCAGTTTTTGGCATCGGGGTCTCGTAGCAAACCTAGGCCTCGCTCTACGGATCCTTCGCCATGTGGCAAGGGTGCCACCCCACCCAGCAACCGGAACTCGTGCCCCAAAGCTCCTTCCCGTTCACTTCATTGGCAAGGAGCCAAAGCTCAGGGTGGAGTTGAAAATGCATGGACCACTCACCCCCATGAGCAAAAAGCCTCGACACTGGCACTGGAGTATGCCCGATGTATATCAAGTTGTATGCATGCTGTGAAGTATGGATTCCTTGCCAATGGCTTCATCTACGTATAGCGTATATAATCCTAAATCCTTTCAAAAGAGAACAGGACCACATGAACCGTAGTGGTTTCCGAGCATCATTGTCCACCTTCTTTGGAGTTTACTGCTGCTCCTTTCAATATCTTTCAATAAACCTCTGTGGCTTGAGGACGGTCATGTACGTCCAGGTTCAGCTGCAGCTGGGGGAGTTGGTTCCAGAAAGGCCCAAAAACAGTAGCAGCTGGTGCATAGCCAGCTTGAGCTGTGCCCTGAAATAAGGAACCATCCCGGGTCAAACGTGTTGACTCTACACAGTTCTACACCCGAGCAGTGACATCATGACCATGTGGTTCCATGTGGGGAAGGGTCCAAATCTAGAGCCCAACAACATGTAACCATGTGGTTCAACCTTTCAGGTAGGTCAGCCAAGGTAGCCATATGGGTGTGCATTAAAATAGGGAGACCCTCCCAAGCAACGACCCCGTGGAAGAAGAACGATATCGACCCGTCTGCCCAGCGAGGGCCAGGGTGTCTCCCTATGAAAATGCACACCATTGCACACCCATATAAGCTTGAGTGGGTTTCCTATGGTTTCCTTCAATTTGGAGAGCTTCAAAATCACCTTTTGGCACCCTCATCTGGCTGCATGTCCCGCCTGCAACATAGGCCAGCTCGTGGTGCGGGCCTTCGGCAAAGACCAGGCAGCCCAAAGCAATCAGCGTACAAAAGAACATTCCAGTGGCTCGGGGACCGTAGCGATCCAGAAATGCTCCAGAGGGTAGGGCAGCAATGTTGAGCCTCAAAAGCGTCTTGGGGCTTTAAGTTTTAAGAAAGACTGCAAAGCTTTAAGCTTTTGGGTCAATGCTGTTGGCTTTAAGTTTAAATAAGACTGAGATCGAGCATACGTGTGAGATGTTTAAACTGCAAAGCTTCTGAGCATACGCAGTTTAACTAGCATGTCACTCACACATACTGACACCATGTGTTCGCAAAAGAAACTTCTTGCAGGATACTGCCCACTATAGTATAGCAGCAGTAGGGTAGATCAAAGACGCTGCGCCTTATAACACCGCAACCTTCAACTCGACACAGTTCAAAGCATTAATTACACGCACACCGCCGCCTTTCCGCACAGCTGTTCACAACTGCCATCAAGTAAAAGGCCCACCCTAGCTTGGAAGATTAATACGCCAAGCAACAACGAGGTGGTCGCGGCAAACATTCCAGTCAAGCCTCTGCTGAGGCAAGGTTGAGGCATTGTAGGGGCGCCTATCCCTACCCAAGGTTCAAGGTGGTGCAACAAGCTGGTTTAGAGCCTTTGATGAGGAGGTTCTAATTTGTTTCCCATGTTGCGCCGTTGGTTTCTTCGCTGAAGCCAACGGCACGGTTGTTGCGCAATAAGAAGGCAACCTTCTGCCAAACAGCATGAAAGTGGAAGGTAGAACATAGGGATTGATTGCTGTTGTTCCCTGCCCTACTCTTTTTCTTGGTTCAAAGGAGGGGAACAAGAAGTCGTACAAGTTTCTGGTCGAACAGAACAGGGAGCACGAGATCTGTGCAACACAAACCTGCTGTCTCAAGTCTTCGCAGTGTGCATGGAAAGCGCCCACATTGAGCAATGATGGCACCAGCGCGCTGAAGCCAAACGCGAGCCCCGTGTTCCTCGGTGAAGAAGTGGTTGAAGAAGTAGATGGAACTGGCACCCCTCTCGATGTCCTGTAAATGGAGATCCATATACACCACCTTTTGATGATTGTGTCATCTACTCTCAACCTACTACCAATCTGACTACCAATCTGTACATACATAATAGCAAAAACAAAAGATTGCTCAGGCTCGGGCCAACATACAGCCCTCAAGTCAATTTCCAATAAAGTGCGAAGCATGGCAAGCCAGAACTGACAAAAACTTTACTCAGAAGTTTTCGCGTGGGGGTCGTCAGGCAGCAAAAAAACGGCTGAGGCCACAATCAACGCGGCTCCCGTCTTCGGCCGTTTTGATCCAGACGGGGCCTGTCGATCCAATAGTTCCTCATAGTCCGAACTGTCTGCTAAGCCCATGGCGCAAAACTCGATTGCTGGCACCAGCAGGGTGAGCAAGGGATAGAATGGCAAATGTGAAAACAACAGGTCTCAAAGTCAAAGTCTCCTTGAACGCATCCCCTCAGAAAAGTGAACTGTCTCTGGCCTTTTAAGGCGAAACCAACCTGAGCAAACAAACACTTTTGCGAGGAATACTGACATCATGGAAGTAAAGGAAAACTGTCTTCCAGTCCACTTCCATGATTATTCTGGAAGTGTCTCTTGGTTGCAAAACGCCGCAAGTCATTATCCAGAAATGCGATGGCAATTCAATCTCATTGACTCATTATTGTCAACATGCATGGACGAAGAAGGGAGGATCTTTCCGTGATAAATGCCAGTATCAAGACTTTCTTATCTTTCTTTGTTGAGAGCCAAGCAGATGCGAGAGATGGCAACAAATGTAAGTTCCCGAAAAACGGTCGAAAGGTAATTATGAGATATGTGTGATATGCATGACTGACCAAATGAACAACGGATCAAATCCGCACATCTTCCCCCTGTCTCCCTTGCGACGTGAAGGCGAATCCGCCATGTCGGGCGGTGACACGGGTCTGAGAACATCACCCCGTTGGGTGACCAGTCAAATACAGTGGTTGAAGGAGTAGATGGCACTGGCACCCCAACATGTCTTGTATATATAGGGGTCCATCTAAACCACCTGTTGGGGAAATTGTGCCATCTATATAGTTACTCTGAAACCTGTAATTGCAAAATATGGCCAACAGAAACACAACTCAAGCTTTGGAGCGGGTTTTGGACACGCAGCAATGTGTTTCCAAACCATCCGCAGTCATCCATATTGTTGGAATGATATGATGAACATATATCCATATATATATGCCAACAGTCTCCGGCCCCCCAAAAAACAAGCACCTCCCAATATAATATTGAATAGACCAGTCTCACGGATCGATCGACCGCCACCGGTGCTTTCCATCGGCGCCTCGACCTTGGTCTCCAGCCGCCACACGTCGATCGCCTTGGCGCTGCCTTTCAGGCGTCCGGCGCCATCAATGAACCTCGGCGGTGGTTGTTCCGTTTCGACCCACGCCGGTCGGTCCACGTGAGCGACGTGAGACCAAACCAGTCGGCGACGTGAGAAAAGGGACGAGAGGTCGTCGAGTTTCGGAGTCCGAAGGTCGAAGGACTCGAGCTTTAGGGCTGTAAAACACGTGGAGCAAAACATAGCAAAAACCATAGCAAAACATAGCAAACACCATAGCAAAAACCACTTGATGTTGCTGGGGGATCGTCCCCCACGTGGCGAGTTTCCGAAGATGATCGAAAGCGAGTGGACGGCCGAGTGGCTCTGCCAAGGTGATCTGGCCATCACCTCATGTGGCAAAGAACTGGGCAAAAGAACGGCTTACCCTTTCTCTAACAATCAAAGAAGTGGATCCCCGACATGATATAGTAGCGAAAAAAATAATCTGGTGTAACCTGTACATCCGTGTTGCTAAATGAAAGCCATGTTGACAAAAGTGTCAAACCCCAAACGCCCAAAAGCTGCCAAAGGCCAAGCGAGCTGCCGTTGTCCAAGAATTCAAAAAGGCTCAAGAGGTCCTCCCCGTGGCTGCAAAGTGGTCGCTTGTGTGGGCACGTGAGCATATGCAGTGAGTCCACGCTGATGTATAGATAGACAGACAGACAAACAGACAAACAGATAGATGGATGGATAGATAGGATAGCTAGATAGCTAGATAGCTAGATAGATAGATAGATAGATTAGATAGAATTATATATTATAAGTCTTCAGAACAGGCCAACAAGAAAAAACAGGGAGCACCTCAAACTACTCAGAAACTCCACGAAACTCCTAAGGCTGTGATTTCTGGTGGATTGTGTATCACCGTGGACGTCAGAACTCGCCGAGTCATCGACTAGCACATCGACAAGCCCGTCATGATACTCCAACTCCAGCTGGCTCATCCAGAACTTCAGTTTGGGCGAATTCGCCAGCTTGGCAAACCTCGGTGACTTCGCGCAAATCGCCAAGTTTTTGTTTCTTTCGGGGAGGTCGTTTTGTCCAAGGTCGGGGGGAATGGACTGGGATGGAGGAATCAAAACCGCTATCAACGTGTGGAATCCTCCGATGCAAAGCAGATTCTATCTGAGGCACATCCAAACAAGTCATGACAGCTCAATTGGGTTTACTTTAGATTTCAGTTGGTCCTCACAATCAAAGCAATCAGCTTAACTTATCGAACAGGTGCATTGCCAATGAACACTCTTGATCACTTCACTTGCAAGTGGTTTTTCCTGCGATCCTGGACTTGCCAAGTCTTATCCAACCCTGGCCCACCCTCATCATCGTCAAAGAAACTCTTCCAAATTCAATGCCCCATCTCCACTGTCCTCATGCCACAGCAGCATGCAAATCAATGCCACATGGCTAAGGTTGCTGGTGGCAGTGTGGAAGCCCACTGCACGAAGTCACTACCCTCACCAACATGCTCCGCCCTCGTCATATTCCCGACTAAGTTCTCCCTGTCATGTTGAAACAATGGGTTTTCTATGGTTTTCTGGAGGTGTCAGCTGTGCTTGTTCACCGCGCTCGAGCTCCACAAAGCTGGAAGCATGAAGCTACTGCATGCTACCGCAGCTACCGAAGGTCTCAGCTGCCGCCAAGGGACATCCATGGATTGAAAAAGCTTTCGGACCTTGCGAGTATACAACGCCACGTCCCGCTCTTTCTGCTTGAAAGCCAGCTCTTCATCTGAACTGGCAGTTTTCCTGAGTACATACTGATGCCGAGAGGGGGGTGGTGATCTTGGAGGCGCACTGGGTGGCCCTAGGACCTAGGCAGGTCTTTCCATGTCAGCAAATCACACGTGGAGCAATGCGCTTCCGATCCTGGTTGGTAGATCATGGTAGATCGCATCTCCAGATGCTCAGTTCAAGCTTCTAGTCTTGTGTGACCAACCAATCAACCAACCTACTTAGTTGACCGACCAACGATGCCCGACCAACGATGCCCGACCAACCAAGCCACCCTCTCAAACAAAGACTTGTATAGCCTATAGTCTATACGCAAACAAACATTACAGGTACCTGGCTGGATGGACACAACAATGGTTTGGGTCTATCCATGTCTATCCTACTACCATGCAGGGCCCAATGGATGATGATGGGGCCTGGGCCTGGTTGGCCGACATCTCTAAACTAGATCGCTTCTTGTTGACTGACTGTTACGGGCAAGTTCAGACAAACACAAACAATTGTCAAATAGAATCCAAACCGGCCTGGCAACAGCCTTGGGATCAGTGACCATCCGAGACCTTTCCAACCTGGAACCTGAGCCGCCTGGTTCAAAGCAGTCGTTTTCCACCAAACGGGGGATCAAATGGATTCTAGGCCAAAAGTGCGTTTCAATTGGATGAATCATGTGTGGACTGTATGTGAACATCCTAAATGATTGCTCATTTAATGTGTGATACACATATACAACCCCCCAGTCACTAAACGTGCAAGCTGGTTGCATAGTCTGCTGGACGAACACTGCGTTCACCTTTGCTGCACGGAATGATGTTGATAGTGAGCGCTTTTTTGAGGTGTCTGAAGGGGCAGTTAATTCAAAAAACAAAAACATACAACAACACAATCATACACAGGGCCAGCACCCGAAAACTATCGTACGTATATTTTTCCGCTGAGGCACAACGTTCAAAAGGGCAAAGCCAACCACACAACCTCAGTGACGAACGACCAGCTTCAGCAGCGTGATGCTTGACCACGCCGGCCATCAATATATTTGTTCCATGTCGCACTAGCTTATTGAAAAAAGAAAACACACAAAAAAAACACACATGGAACAATGACACACAAAAGCCGGACACTGAACAATAACACAATAACAAAACAAAACATACAACAAACGCCGGAACCCTTCTTGACACACAACAGCCGGAACCGCGACAGCGAGCAGCCTCTTCGACGTGGCGAGCCGCCGAGATCTCACATTTGGTCGATGCAAGAGTTGATGCGGGCATAACTCCAGAACAAATGTCAGAACAATATAGAACACATGCCATAATTACCACGTTAATGCACATGTTACAACATAGTCGCAACATATCACAACACTATGCGCACTTGGAGGTTCACAACACAGAGCCCTAGAATTAGTTCTGGTGGATTGCTGGTGAGCAGTTCTTGGCTGAACTTTGGCGTCGCCCTTGTTGTTTTTTCTAGTTGATTTGTCTACATGGCCAATGTGTGTCAGAATGCATGCCAAAACACTTGTCAGAGCATATGTCACGGATAGCCAGGGAAGAAACCTCAAGTATATCCATTAGTAAAAGGCCAGCTCACATGTTGGGCACTTGGGCTGGTCGTTTGCCTGGATGTTAATTCATATGCCCAGCCTTCTTCCAAATCACCTTTCCAGGCTTGGATCACTTGAAGTACAATGTCATTGTAACAAGGTTTTGGTTGTTGTGACCGCTTTTGATTGTATTCGTGATAGTGACTAGTGCAAGCTAATAGGTTTATAATGTTTATAGTACGTGGTAAAGTATGTACAAAGTCTTGTTCTTGTTGCTGCTTGCTTCATTTCACACCTTCGAATCCTCGGCGGCTCGCCATTCGCGGACCGCCAAGACCACCAAAACCGTGGCGAGATTTGGACGGACGACCCCGGTCAAAAGATTCAACTGCACGGCACATACGGCATGGCCCGTTGAAAACGAAACGACCAGCATCCTGTTTGCAACATCATGATCCTGTCAGTGCAAAACTAGCGTCGATGCCGTTGTCCACAGCTTCCCAGCCCGTTGTCCACTGTACATACCACGCATGATGCAACATCTGCTTCTTAGCAACCCCAACGAACGTCAATCACCTGCCCACCCTCAACTCCCACAATGCAACAGCATGCTGTTCGCAATCACAACCGAAACTTCAATATGCAGTGAATAGCTTTGAATAAACATCACTGACCCACTAAAAGCTCACCCTCACTAAAAACGCCGCGGGCCGAAACCGGCATGGCATGGAATTTGCTTGACAAAGCCTGGGCCATCAAGCTTTGCATGTCGGCAGGAAAAACACGCTCTGGAAGAAGACTGGGTTTCCTGACGGTAAAGGAGGAAGAAGAGTGAAAACCATTCGCTCACGTTCTCCACCAGCACTCGGCATGGAGGGCCCCAGTTCGCAAACAAAATCTCAAACCTGCCGCGCGGTGGCCGTCGTAAAAAGAAAAGACCACGCACACACCCTAGGGCTCCAACCACCTCCTGAGAAGGTGGTTGGGGTAGGTTTGGGGGGTCTAACCACCTTTTGAGGATATAGTTGGAGCCCTAGGGACATGTTAAGCTGGATGACGAGCTTATGATCCGGATCATGGGGAAGTCATCTGCCCCCACTTTGACACCGGAAAATTCATCTACACAAAACATTGGGAAACACCAAGAATCACAAAAAATGCTTTGGGCTTGCTGAGAGGCATGGATAAAAATGTGCGCGAAAAGGTCCTTAGCCAGAAAGAAAGGAAATCTGACGGAGAATTGAGTCCATCATGGCATTCATGCCAAAAAACAAAGCCGAAACAAACACCTCACAGGGCAAAAAACAAACTGTGTATTCATGACCGGCCGCATTTCAAAAAAAAGAAAATACTTGCAAACCGAGGTGTTATTACACTACATTCCAAAGAATCAAGTAACTACCTCTTCCTCTGCTTGAATGACGAGCCCAACTCAGCGAAGAAATCCATGTCTAATTCCATTAACTCCTTTCAATTGGAACACGCCCTATCACAAAACCCACCCGTGAGGACAGGAGAACCATATCAACGACGAAACATCGCCCCAAACCACAGCGGGGGTTTAACATTGCACGGTCACATACGGTACAGGCTTTTTCATCCAACAGCCTAACAGCTTCTCTTCATGACATCCCTCATCGATCTCGTGCTTTCTCCATAGTGTCCCATAGTATCTGTAGACCTCTTCTCGATACTGCGGGTCATTCTCGGTCTGCTCAATGAACCTTCAGTCTCGGGGAGTCGAGTCTCGGAGACGTAAGGTGACGGGTCTCGTGTTGTTTGTTTCTTACCCATACACTCCATGGGACTGCCATATATGATCATATATGCCTACATTGACCTCCCAAACCACCCCAATGTAGGCATATATGGCATACTTGGAGTGTCTGGGTTAGTAAGCTGAGTCTAACATGGATATGGGAGATGAGAATCCAAATGGATTGGATTTGCTGAGTCGGGAAAGGGGTAAAAGACATTCCCCAGAAGGCGACAAGCATAGGGAAGCAACAACATAACCTGAATCAATACTGTTTTCTCAACTTTGTTTTGCATATATTAATATATTTATGTATCATGTCTTTTGATCAGCTGCATCCGGTGGAGTTTGAGCGAATCCATGTCCACCTCCCACGCGGTTCAGTCACAGAGCGGTGAGACACACAAAGACCTTGAGCCGATCGCGGCCGTTCAGAAAAATCTCCCGTAAGGATTTTGGCAGAGCATTTTGGGGGGGGCCAAAACAACCCCCGCCGGTTTCCAGACTGCAGACTGACTAGTAAAAAAAAACGCAACAGAAAAACGCTGTGAAGAAAAGGTTTGACACTCCACATGAGGGGGTCCTTTGAACACTCCACATGAGGGGATCCTTTGATTCATACAAAAGACTACCTTGGAGTACTCCTTGGAGTATATAGGAGCCTGAGAAAAACCGTGCCACATCAACAAACCCATCCGGAACCGGAACTGTCGCCGAACGCCCGACGCTCGGTTGGCCATGGAACTCCCGGCACAAGCCACTCACCAACATCCCAGCCACGCATTGGACGCATGCCTTGGCACAGGGATGCGGGTTTGACCTCCCAAACGCCACCCGGGAAGAACGAGCGTTGAGTGAATTCAGTAGCACTCTGATGCGAGCAACCATTCCCTCTTTCTTTCTTGAACTTGTTATCATCATCCTATCATTTACTTCACCCATAAGTTGTTGCTCCCCCCATGTGCACGCACATTGAGTGAACTTGGCTGGCGAGTCGTTCAAACTCGCCCGCTGGCTCGAAGCCTGCGAACTCCACGCGCGGGGCATGACGGACCCAAAGGAAGCAACATCACCCAATCAACCAGCATGGCTGCACTGCTGAATTCTAGGTGGAAAGGTTGTGGTTCTATGATTCATTATGGTACGATCCAGGGCTACTTGAAACCCAGTGTTTTTCTTGTCTGCACGGTGCATGACACAACCTGGACGCAGTATATATCTTATGTTACATCTTGCGCCCAAACCTTTCTGACACCTGAAAAAATCAGGTGGACAATCAATGATCACGTCTAAGTACGAGCAAGCAGAAAGTCCAGAAGAGCATGTCGACGCTGGCCATCAAGCCTTAGAGAGTTCATCGTAGGCACGCCCTTGGGGAGCAAGGAAAGCCCAACCCAAAACATCTTGCCCAACGGCTAACAGTGGAGATTGTTCAGAAGTCTCATGCTCTTCAGTGGAGATTGTGCAGGACTGAAATTGGCAACAAACCATTGCAGCCTGTAAAACCAAGTTGTTGACTAGTTCCACCGAATCAGTTTAAAGCAAACAATTCTCCAAAAAAATGCATTTAGTGGGGCAGGTCGTCATGGACTTGCTATTGCTGCCCAGAAACATTTGGTGAGCAACTCCAATGCTCCCAGGGTATTGGAGAGAGTTACGAGTCGAAGGGCTCTGGCCAGCTTGCCGATGCGGAGCAATCCTGACTGAGCGCCACAAATGGACCAGGCGACGGGGTGACATGGGTTCTTTTTGTTTCGTTTCGAGGAATGGGATCGGCAGGGCCACATGAAAAAGTGGTTCCTTTCGTTTCGTTTTAAGGAATGGGGCCTTGTTGATGAGAATGGGGTGACCTCATCGTAAGATGATCACTGACCTCATCCAGGAGGTCGCCATAAGTGACGATGGAGGAGTGCTTCTATGTCCATCCAATCTATTCACAGTGTTGGGAAGAAATGCGTTGCAGAAGAAAGCAATTCAGGCCTTGAGTAGCTAGCTCTGACTGCACCACTGCAGTGCATCACAAAGAAATCACTTCTCGTGAAAAACCACGGCGCTTCATTCAATTCCCCCATTTGGGAGGCGAGAAAGTGCAAGTGCCGTAAGCAACAAACAGCCA